TAAGAGACTTTGTTGAATTGTAATTTTGTGATTGTAATTATGTACATTTAATTAAATTATTGTTAATTGTTATTGGTTTATTGTAAGTGACTATTGTTCGGGACGAACAATACTAAGGAGGGGGCAGTGTTGCGTCAGCGAGGTCACGTGACTCGTTCTCTCGAACCTTTGGGAATTGTCGGGAGATTACTAGATATAGGGTAGTCTGGTATATATAAGAGGGTGACAACGTGACGGGACAATAATGTGTGTGTAGGTAGTGAGTTATTGATCTGCAGTGAGAAAGTATTGTTGAAGTTAACGTTCGTTATAGCGTTTGTTTTAGCGCGAATGTTGAAATCAAGTGTATCGTGAAGTTATATTCAGAAAGAATAAACCAGTTTTATTAAGTGAGGACTTGTGCCGCTAAAGTTTCGTCGGAACGAAGTTACGGAAAGTTAATTAACAAACGGAGACGTAACACTATGTTAAATCATATAAAGAATAACGTAGAAGGTACTTAATCTTAAAACTAGGGCTTTGTGTTTTAATAAGAAATAAATATATTATGTTTGTTTAATATTAAGTACAAAGCTACAAATGGACTATCATTTCTATCTACCCCAAGGATATCGAAACCCGGTGTTTAGCGTTAGAAGCCTTTAGATTTTCTTCTCAGCCACTGAGGGGGTATATATATTACGCAGAAATATATACAATTTGTTCATTCACTCGCACGAAACCTTTTGCATACAGTGGGTTAAACGGCCTGATAAAAGGCCTATATGTTGCCTAATCGTGAACTGGTTAGCGGAGAGGATAGGGGGTCCAAAGTTTTCGGGCTTGATTCGTGATGGTACTACACATTCTTTGCGCTTCTGCTATGGGTGCGGTATAAAAGCAATAGTCGACCCCATTATTCGGTTAAGAGTAGCCACTTCAAGAAGTTGGGACTGCATATTAGTAATATTTCTTCTGTTCCACACTATGCCATTTCCGGACACAATATAGTAACAAACAGGGAGGAGAAAAAACAAATTTAATTTATTCTCAATCTGTGGTTCGTGAACCCACTATAGGCCGAAGGGTCGCTTCAGGTGGTCTGAGGAAAGGCTGCATGATTACTGAAAACGAAGCGCTGAAAGAGGCGACATTCCTTTATTGTATAATACCGTAAAGCTAAAAGTAATGAGTCGAGGTTCTTAAAAACCTAATCTTTTATAAAGATCTATAACTACAAATATTAGTCGAAATTCATTTGATTTCTGAAGCTACACAAATAAGGAGACATGTTAACCCTTACCCATATTGTAAAAATGAAAATTAAATCTTAAAAGCAAATTATAAACGGTACGGTACTCTTGTGGTGATGAAATGAAACATACATATTAGCTGAAATACCCGGATAAATGACATCATTTTCTAATCATCGGTCGCCATCAACGTCGTCGAAAGAAACACCCTTCCGTTTAGATATTAGAAGTATATAGTTAAGATGTAAGTCAGTTATTTTTTAAATTATGACTGTTTATGTAAACACAAATGTCTATTTGTTGTCATTCTTCTCTTAATTATTTAAGACCTTTGAGTTTAAGTTAATGGACATTATCATGACATTGACACAATGACAGTATCATTGATTCGTTAACTTTTCCAGTATAGGCCTATGCTTCACCAAAACTACCGTCAATACCGGTGATAGGCCTAAGTAATGACTGGCTTGTTTTTTTGAACGTTGTCCCAGAGTTCACTGGCTTTATTTAGGGGCTATACTTAATAAATTAATTAAGATAGCTTAATATTCTCCAGACTTAGTTTTTTGTCCATAGTCCTTGATTCGATCACTCCCAGCTACTATTAGTATTAGTATTACTAATAAGTAACATTATTATTAATATTACTAACTTTCTGCGTAGCCAATACAAGTCTTTCTTAGTTGCTATATTTCGCTCCAACAATAAAACTAGTGAATTCAGTTGTGTGAAATTTCATAAAAACTTTAATAAGTGCATGTAGTTTAAGAAACATAAAGCCTATTACATTTGATATACTTGGTTTTCTTGCATTATTGTCTTTAATATGTTGGAAAGTTACATTAGGAAATGGTATTTGTAAGGTATGATTATGATATTTATATTTATTCCAGATTTGAACTTCTTACATTTTTATGTTATAGTACATTATTTTAAAATCTCTTAAAATTTTTTTATCATCCATAAATTGCAAGTTTTGTCAATTTTTAATTTTTTAATAATCACATCTTCTCCTTATGGTTTCAAGTAATATACAAGACCGAAAATAATATTTCAAAGTAAACCTAAATAATAAACGAGTATTTTTTTATTTTTAAATAGGATTTCATGTCTATATATGTACATATAAAACATTTTATTTTTTGTTTCATAAATGCGTTTATTTCAAGTTTATGTTTCATTGTACCCATACTTTTGTTTATTGTGTCAAAAAAAGTGTAAAGTTAGTAGCATGAACTTAGTACATTTGCAGTAAACTCTCTCATCCCTTTTGGGGTTCTCTTGTTCAGCCCAACAAGGGTGCATTTGAACATTACTGTAGATATGATAGTAAGAAAGCTTTTATGTACCTGAATATCATTTCTTTTAACTTTCAAACAAGTTTATTTCAACATATGCTGTTTCACTACACAGACAAAACTTTAATTGCCACTACTAGTGAATTTATGTACAGGTGGTTTGAATAACACTGCCTGACCCTAGTTATGTGATACAACCTGTTACAAGAGATTACCAAATGATACAGACACCATAAATTTCAAAGAAAATCACTTTACAGTGCTTAAAAGATTAGTCCTGGTCACATTCCTCTCATGATAGGCAAGATTATGTTGGAATTCAAAACTTAAGCTCTTCAGTGTATTGACACCCCAACCATGAGAATGTCATAGCTTCTGCACTATTATTGAGACTAATATGTTTAGTGTGTTTCATAACCTGCATATGGGTTTTATTGTTGTTACTTGTTTACACTGAGTTTTAACACATATATAAAAGGCTCTTACGTGAATAAAAATTTCATTTACCAAGAGAACCCACGCACATCAATTTGTAAGTTGCTCGCTGAAATCATCGTTGAAATCATGAAATTGGAGCACTTCAAATTTCATCTGAGGTAAGATGTGCTTTTAGGCATAATAGTTATACATATTTAAATATTTTATATTGCTTAGGATGAATAATTAAATAAGATTGCTTTATTGAAAGTAGTTTTCACTTTATTTTGTGATTTTTGTTTTAATTTCTACACACATATATCATTATCATACATGTTTCAGTAATATAGTAATATAATGTCAGAAGTATTTACAATTTCATGTATAAACTGTTTGTATGTATTTGTTCTGCCTGTTCCTTATACAGAATAATAATCTCTTGCATTTATTTTTAGTCTCCTGGATATCAAGGACACAGAGATAGATTGAGGTATCTCTCAACAAGTACTTGGATAACACACAAAGTAAGATGTATGCATTTTTGTATAACATGTAATTAGTAAATTTCTACTGGAGTGATATCTTTCAGTAATGTAATGTCAGAAGTATTTACAATTCTATATATAAACTGTTTGTATGTATTAATTCTACCTGCTCCTTTCATAGAATAATAGTTTTTGTATTTATTTTTAGTTTCCTGGATATCAAGAATAAAGATATAGATTGAAGTATCTCTCAACATCTATTTGGATAACACACAAAGTAAGATGTATACTTTTTTTGTAAAACATGTACTTAGTAAATTTCCATGGTGTTTATCTTACTTATGATGATAAATATGTAAATCAGATTCATTAGTTGTACATCATATAAATTAGTTTTTACTTTAATTTGTGATTTTGCTTATATTCATACACATACATACAAAACGTACAGTTGTTAAATATTTTCTTCAAGTCAAATCTCAATATTTCAAATGTATATGTATCATGTTTTTATTATGTCAACTAAATATTAATAGCATATTAATTTTCCTAGATGGAAGATATTTCAGCACTTCAGGAAAAGAAAAATCTTTCCTTAATTGAAGCATTGAAATTGTTTTTTGCTTCTTCCTCTGAAGAAGAGTGTCTTTCTGGATTGGAGGAAGAAGCCACAAAAGATACAAATGGAGAGGAACAAGAACCAGCATTACTGGAATCACTTTTGTTTGAGGAGCCTGACTTACCTTCAAGGGAAGAAGACTCTCCTCATGACCACCAACAATCTGAGGTGACCGATCTTCCCACGACCAGCACTACATCAACTTCCAAAATGGACAGAGGCAAGAAAACACAAGAAAAGCCCCTGGCATGTAGTGCAGAATAGAAATGGGAAGTTCTCAAAGATGAGTAACCCAGATTGTTGGGAGACTTCGTTCGAGGAGAGCCTGTTTCCCGTCAGGCAAGTAGGTGTCAGACTCCTCTTGATTTTTTCCAACTCTTTTTCTCTCTCAGAATTATTATGAAGATTGTTGAAGAAACAAATAGATTTGCACACCAGCAAGGGGATCACCTAAACAATGATGTCAGAAAGAAAAGGAGACTGCTGAAATATAGTGATGTTACCCTTGAAGAAATTTTAGCTTTTATTGGTTTAACTATTTCTCTGGGTATAACTTGCTTACCATCTGTTACAGATTACTGGTCTACCACTCCTTCACTTCATTTTCCCTGGTTTTCTTCAATATTTTCCAGAGAAAAATTCCTAACTATTGCTCGCTTCTTTCATTTCAATGACAATACTAATAACCTACCTAAAACTAATCCTAAGCATGATAAACTCTTTAAAGTAAGGCCTGTGCTTGATCATCTACTAACAGCTTTTCCAGCTCACTATAACCCTTCTAGGGAACTTTTTATTGATGAGCAAATGTTGGGAACAAAAGGCAGAATTTCTTTTAAGCAATATCTACCTAGCAAGCCTACCAAGTGGGGAATCAAGCTTTGGGTTCCTGCAGAAGCCGTGACTGGATACTGTTTAAATTTTAGAATATACTCTGGTAAAGAGGGATCTGCACCTTCCAAGAACTTAGCTAGCACAGTTGTAATGACTCTGATGGAAAAGTACCTTGGTAGGGGACACTCTCTCTTTACTGATAACTTTTATACTTCCCCAACTCTGTTTGATAAGTTGCTTTCACTTGGTACTTATGCTTGTGGTACTTGTAGGAAGGACAGGGCCCACTTCCCAGACATGTTTCCAGGTAAGTTAAAAAGGGGAGAGTCACAGTTTTTCAGCTGTGGCTCAATGACAGCTGTGAAGTGGACTGATAAAAAAGATGTTTATGCTCTTTCTACAATGCATAATGCTACAGTAAAGGAAGTGACAAGAAGACAGGGTGATATGACTAACAAGCCACAGATAATCTTGGATTACAACAAGTTTATGGAAGTGGTTGATCTTAATGATCAATTTCTTAGCTTTTATTCCATTCCATGTAAAAATGTCAAATGGTATAAGAAGCTTTTCTTTAGACTTGTTGACCTGTCTATTGTTAATTCTTTTATTCTTTTCAATCAGGTAACTAAAAATAGCAAGTACAAACAGAAGGACTTTCCTTTACAATTAGTAGAATCCCTCGTGAAACCTTTAATTGAAAGTAGAGGAGGGCCTTCTTGTTTGTCAAGTATCCGTTCACCAGTTCTGGTAGATGCACAGGAACGGTTCTCACCTGGGAAGCATTTTCCAGCATTTGCTGAAGAAAAAAAAAGGTGCAGATTGTGCCTCCACACAGGTTTAATTAAGTTGACTTGTAAGCTGTGCAAGGTTCATCTCTGTGTAAGGCACTTTGAAGAGTACCATACTTCGAAGACTCTTCAAAGAAGTTAACTTTTTTTCTACCAAATCTAGTCAATATATTATGATTAGAAAGAAAAGTAAAACTCAATCTGACTCCTTTTATTTCTTTAATCTTTCACTTTCTTAAAATCTAAAATTTCTCCAGTAGAGGTTTGGTGTGTATAACATTTTTTTTTTATTATTTTTACACCATTACTCAGCATTTGCATTTAGGTATTTCCACTTGTTTTAAGTGCAGTTCTATTTGTTAATTAATGTTTTAAAACTCATTGCATTTATTAGCCATGAAAATATTTCAACAAAGATTTTTTGCCAGAGCACACAAATTAAATTTTTGTCTATATTGAATTGTATTTATTATACATTACTATTATTATTTTTATCATATTTTGTATTTTAGTTACTGCTCGAGAATTATGTACAAAATTTTCAATAATTTACTGAATAATGTAAAACTTGAATTATTCATCTTCAGATAGCTTTTTGGTAACAATGTTTAGCTTATTTTTGCATTTGTATAAAGATGTATAATGTATTCAGTGTACATAATCATGAGTAATGAACAAATGTACAGTTTGTATGTTCTTGGTATATATACTGATGTGATTATAGTATTTCAGTGTAGCTTTTACTATGTATTTATTTTTGCATCTAAGCATGAGTTGCATACAACTGTATGTATACTTCCCAGAGCATAACTTACATCAGTTTGATATTGTTTTTATTACCAGATTTCATTTGCATTAAATTGATTATCTGTAATAAACTAACTTTTTATTTTGTTTACAAAGCTTGTATATACTTTTATGTAACTTAACTTTCTTTTTATTTAAACCCTTTGCAAAATATCAGAATAAGCTATATATCAATTAGTCTGTCTTTATTATACAAAACAACAACAGAAGTGTGGGTCTTACTACAAAGTAAAAATAGTAAGAAGGAAGACATAAAAATTTTACAATAAGCCTAACTATTGTAGTGTAGTAGAATGTATAAATCACCCAAGGTTATTCTAAATACTAAATCATATTTTTATTATGAACTAAATATAAAATTATGCTAAATTATTGAACTTAAAACTGCTAACTTAAATGCAAAAGAATATAAAGCTCGCAAACTCTTTCAGTTCAAAGCACTAAGTCTAATCCACGTAAAGACCATAAAAAAGAAGTTAATATCGACCACTACTAAATACAACCTATACATAAAATGGCAGTTATTATAATAAGCATCACACATGTTCATATTGTAAAATACGGAGAACAAAGTTTCTTCATGTGCTTTGCTTATTACCCTTTGATTTGTTAAACGTGAAATACAGGGATTGGAATAACTTGGTACTGAAATTGACACCTTTGACTAGGATTGACTAAAAGTTGTACAACTGAGGTTTAACATGCCCAGATGCTATTTTATAAAGAAAACAGACTAGAAAAAGGTTTAGATGCCAATCACAGATGGCAGAACCAGTGCTAATGTGCAAGGAAAATATGTTGAAAAAATTTTTTTTTCTTAGAGGGCACATCAAATTTCTCTTCAAACTTCTTTAAATAATGCAATTTAGTATAAATAATTAAATGTTATGCTACTATTTACAAATATAAAATCTGAAAACCAATAAAAGATAATTTTTATCAATTTGCTAATGCGATTTTGCTCTCCAGTAGACAAAGGGTTAAAACCCAAGTCGAAGATAATAGTTTAATAAGTACTAAAAGTAATACATAACTGAGTAACTCAAGTAAAACTAAAAATATACTTTTTAGAAATATAGTAATTTAATATAAAATAATAAACTACCTTGCATAGTTTTAACGAGTACGATAGTTTTGGCTAATCTTTAATTACAGTGATATTTATGCTAAAGATCAGTGCTTCTCCACTGAGTGAATGGTTCACCCAGGGGAAAATGAGTATTATCAATTATACAATAAATTCAAGAGCAAAAAAACAGTCATTAGTTATTATTATTTCTTCTAGTTGTAGTTTGATAAATACATTTGTTTTTTGTTTATTTTATGTTGTATTCATTCTAGTTTGATGTATATTTAAGACATAATAAAGAATTTTGTATTTTAGGTTAGTACTTTTTTGTCTTTTTTTTGAGCTGTTGTGAAAAACCTGTAGGGGTGAGTGATATCGGGAAAAGGTTGAGAAGTACTGTTATAGATTAACTTAATAAGTAACATTTGTTTCTTAATTAAATAAGTAACTTAATTTGTTCAAGTGTATATTGAGTTTTTATAGTGAGTGTACTAACAGTACTACTACAAGGAACTGTAAAAAAGATCCAAGACTCTTGGATCCTTGTACATTATTTGGAAAAGGTAGACTTCACTCTGCTTCCAATGAATTGTCAATTTTCAGGTGATATTTTGCATACAAGTTATAAAACATTTCCATGAAATATTACATAATCTGTTATTGTTAGTAAAAGCAGTTGCAATCTTGTGAAGTATTTTTAGAATAACTATTGTATTTGGAACTTAAATCTTATTTCAAATAAAAATGTATTAATACGTTTTATTCAATAAGTATGAAGTCATACCTGTAACACTGAAATTTTAAAAATTTAGGATGGACCATCAATTTCAAGAAAATTAATCATAAGTGCAATAACATGGTGTAACTATTAACAGTAGTTTGTAAAGACAAAGTGGTAACATTTAATATTATTGTCTATGTTGACTTAGCTTATTAATACATTTTTATTTGAAATAAAACTTAAGATCCAAGCATAATAATTATTCTAAAAAACTTCACAAGATTGTAACTGCTTTTATTAACAAGATTGTGTAATATTTCGTGGGAAAATTTTTTACTTTGCAAAGTATCTGAAAAATGACAGTTCATTGGAAGCAGAGTCTAGCCTAACTTTTTTAATAATGTATTATTTCACAATTTGTCTTTGCATTTTTCGTAATTTTTCCCTTAAGTAAATGTACTAAAATAGTAAAAATGCATACAGAAAAAATCAGGAATATATTGTTATAAAATTCTGTAGACTTCATGCTAAGTAACAAAAATAATGAAGTTGGTTCATTATTTCAAACAAGATTTATTAATTTTTAGGTTACTCTTGGCTCTGATCATGTAGTTTACTTCTTATCATATATTTTTATTTTTACAATATTATAAAAATGACAGGAATTTGGAGTACTGGAGTAATCCTTCAATTATAAAACACAAAAAGCAACCAATATTTCAAAACAAGAATTAGTATATAAGTCTCCTCTTGCTGTTCATTTCTTCCCATATGCTGCAAACGAGTTCTGAAAAAAGCATTTTCTATTGTAGGATCATTGACTTGATGAGAAAATATCTTCCACAACTCAAACATTCCTCTGCCTCATATGCACACACACACAAAAACTACCCAGTTATTTCCCTTAACATTGAAGTTTTCCACACTTTAGAAGCATTAGGCTAATCTTAGAAAATCTTTCTACTTTAGTGACTGTACCTTACTGGGTGTGGGTAGGTAGGTATAAAAAAATATTTTATGACACAGAAGGTAATCTCCATGCATAATAAATTAAAATTCAATAAGAAAATAATTCAGAGAAGGGATGAATTTATAAGTAGGTCACTAGGGCTAAATGTTAGGCTTAGGTTAGTATGTAAGGATGAGCAGATTGGCTGATTGGACTTGTGGGATCAATTCAGTGGAAGAAGGGAGCTTTTTTGGAATGGTTGGTTTACATTTAAATAGGGTTAAGGCTATTAACTCAGCTGTAAGGGAAGTTTTAAACTAGGACTAGACAGTGGAGAGGGCCAGGAAGACTAAATCCAAAAATAAGAGGCAGAGAAAAGTTCAGCATAGATTTAAGTGAAGATTTAAGCAGTATTCCACATCTTGAATAATTGATAAATGGAAATGAGATCAAACAAGATGACTGCATTAATTCTGAGCTGGTTAAGAAAAAATTGGGAAGTTTAAAAAATGATTAGGATCCTGGGACAGATACTATTTCCCCAAGGGTTTTGAAGGAGGTTAAAGATGGATATGTGAGCCACTCATTACTATTTTTTGTGGGTCGTTGAATAGTGGGCATGTACCAAAGGATTGGAAGTTAGCCAATGTAACTCCTCTTTTCAACAGAGGTGATAAAAATTGTCCCAAAAATTATAGACCAATTAGTCTTCCATCAGTTTTGGGAAAAGTTTTTGAAAGTTTGTTGAAGATGCTTTGTGGTTTCACTAAGGGAAAATCTTGCCTTACAAATCTTTTAAGATTCTTTGAAAAGGTTAATGCTTATGTAGATGAGGGTAAGGGTGTAGATTTGGTGTATCTGGATTTTCAGAAAGCTTTTGACAAGGTGCCACATAAAAAGCTTATAAAAAAAATTAGCTTTATAGGTGTGGGGAATAAGTTAGCAAATTGTATAGAAGAATGGCTGGATGGAAGAAAGCAGAAGGTTATAAATGGAATTCAGTCAAACTGGATTAAATTCACAAATGGGGTACCTCAGGGCTCAGTCTTAGGACCTTTGCTCTTTTTGATTTACATAAATTTGAAGATGATATTAAACTCTAGGGTGTTGCTAGCTGAGAAGAGGATATTGCTGATTTATAAAAGTATTTATATCATCTAGTGAGTTGGGCAGATAAATGGCAGATGGGTTTTAATTATAATAAATGCAAGATAATGCATGTGGGTTATCATAATTTGAATTATAAGTATAATTTGGATGGGAATAACCTTAATTGAATTATGAAGGAAAGGGATCTTGGTCAATCAGTCTCTAAAGTCATCCAAGCAGTGTGCTGTTGCTAGTGGTAGGGTAAATAGGATTTTTGGTTATATCTGTAGAAATATTGAATACAAGTCTAAAGAGGTTATAATTTCATTTTACAGGTCACTGGTTAGGGCACATTTGGAATATTGTGTTCAGTCTTGGGCTCCTTATGTAAGGAAAGACATTGAATTATTGGAAAGGGTTGCTAGAATGGTGCCTTGGATGGAGGGGTTGTCATACGAGGAGAGGTTGAAATCTCTCAAATTGTTTTATTTTGAAAAAAGAAGAGTTAAGAGGGATCTGATTGAGGTGTTTAAGATTGTAAAGGGAATTGATAGTGTTGATGCATTATCTTTGTTTCATATTTAACAGTGAGAATAATAGGACTAGGGGGACACAAATATAAATTTTCGTAAGGTAGGAGTTATCTCCAGCTAAGATAGTTTCATTTTTCTAACAGGGTGGTTGGCCTTTGGATGTTGTGGAGGCAGTAAATTTAAGCAAGTTTAAGAAAAAGCTTGATAAGTATATGAATGAT